GTTGAATCAGGAGAACACAGGGAGATAATGGAAGTGGGGTCCTGTATGCGTGTTTCGGAGACACAACATACATCTAATTTGAAAGTTTCAAGGGTTCTAGCTAAGGCAGCTTGTTGGCCGATCTGATAGAGTGCGCGGACATTGAACGCGGTTAAGTGAAAAGGGAATTTGGGCTTCAAAAATCCTGTATTTTCTGATTGTTTGGACTTGGATGATATCCGATGGGTCTTGCAAACAGCAGGCGTTTGGAATTATTCGGAATTGAGAGGATGAACTAGACAGATGGGTAGGAGGGTTTTCCAAATGGGTGCCTGAGACTTTAGGGCACGACATACTTCGCGGTAGCCCACACTGACGAAGGGGTTTTTCTTTGGGAACCGTAACCGAAGCCTTCAACTCAAAAGTCTGACCCACAAGACAGTGGGGCGTAAATCCAACGCGGAAGCGTGGATGAAGCACTCGTGTGGGAGCTTCTGCAGACCTGTCACGCAAGGCCTTTGAATTTCGATTGATTGTGTTGTTCGCTGTTGCGTTGNTTTCGGATCGGCCCTTAGTCCCATGTACCCAATGAGACAAAGGAACGTGAATGAGACAGCACCTTATTGGATGGGGGCTGCTCAGCATGGACAGGCGGTAGCTGTCCAGTGAAGTGCAAAGACTTCTCCGACTGTCGAGAGGAAGCCCCAGGTACCTCGCTCCTACGTCCATCTAGCGGGATGTTTGACCGTACATTGCCCCTCACCGTGTTGTTTTACTGGAGTGACCTCTCCAGGGGCGGGTCTGGATAGATGAAGGAAGCCAGGAGGTGCAGCTGGCTTGAGACACTGATCTTCGTCTGGCCTCTACCCATTGACCTTTCAGGCATGATTGAATCTGCGGCTGTGGGGAGCTATCCTGTTTAGCTCGCAGGGTCATAGAGGCACGCAAGCCATCACACCACGTCAAGGTGCAATCTCGTCGCACTGTTGATGAGACCTAACTCGACCTGGTTGGGTCTCATCATCAGTGCGAACCAATCGGCCCAACTGGGAATCGAACCCGGGACCTCACGTATAGGACGCAGGTGTAATACCCACTCGGTCACCGAGCAACTGATCAGACCGTTTCTCATTTTTAATATACACAATATAGACTTTTAGACTCTGTCTTTGAAAATGCATAAAGTTCTAAATTCAGCCGCCTTTGAAATCAGACTATTTGAATGGGTCAGTTTAATCGACCTTAAGATGGTAATCATAGAGGCTGTTTTGATTTCTAGAACTCTTGAGCAAATGCAGGGGGCGGGATGGGAGCAGTCAGAACAGAAATTACGATGATAACGATGGGAAAAGATCAGAAAACAATCTCACACATGTTATTCGCCCCATTCACGTAGGGTTGATTTCTCTTCGGACCATCCTTTCTTATTCCACAGTACAGGGACGAGACGTTTGTACCGTATGTATTTATATTTCACACGCCTGAGGCCAAACTGTGTGCCAAACAAATCGTAGCACACTAACCTTTGTAAAAAAGTGAAAGTTCCATGATTTGTTTGTGGGCTGAATACTGCCAGACTGCCAAGGCCCTTCGACGGGGTCAAACGTTCAAGGTGCCCAATGTACCTCGATGCCCAATGGAGCCAGTGAGCACTGACACAACCGGGAAGGTTCGTGGTTCGTACGCCTCCTCTTAGTTGGTTGGAAATCAGGGTTTTTGGCCAACTCCCTTAGGTAAATTACCAGTGGTCCACCAATCCGGTTATGGCCCCGGGTGTTGGCTTTTCGTCCTCTCACTTTAGTGGGGAAACACCTCCGCCACGGAGAGGCAATGAGTGGGGCTTCCTCAGCAGAGGCTCTTTGAGACGCTTGGTCGTATGGGAGCATTTTACAACGTTCAAGAGATGGGTGGCCAGCCACAACCCAAGACACCCACTTCGGCCACACTGAGGCTTTCTGAGGCGTCATAGCTGATTTACCACACTAAGTTAGATATCGCGCGAATAAAATGTCCGTCATTTCCGGTGCACACGATCTTCAAGTTCACAAAAGCTTTGTTGTTTAAAGCGTGAACTGTTAGCGAACAAGTGTCTGCTTATGCGTACAGATATTGAAAGCAACAACGTGTGTTAGTGTGTCAATCGTTTTGAGTGTTTGGAGCGAAAACAAACTTTCATCCTTTCCCTACTGTATGCGAACTTTGGTCTCTATTTTCCTCTTGCACCAATCCTAGGGTCATCCCCGATTGGTAAATGTACTCAGTCAGTTGTACACACCATTCACCCGATGTGACCCAAATCGATATGCTTCAGCTGGTTCTCTAACCAAAGACACCTTCGCTCCAACTCGGCACTTGGACGCTTTATCCGAGGTCATTGTGTCCGTGGGCGCGTACGGAGCTTTAAGTGCTGCCATTTCTTCCCTGATTGATCATGGGGACGAAGTGATTATCATGGATCCAAGTTTTGATTGTTACGCTCCGATGACTGAGTTTGCTGGTGGTGTTCCGGTGTTCATTCCTTTGAGACCGACCTCGGTGAGTGGCCCATTGTACTTGTTCTGTACATTCTTCTTTTTAAGAGTTCTCCTACTTATATGTATGTCAGCAGTCGCATTTATGATTAAATTGTTCCCGAATCTATTTAGCTTCACACTGTTTAGTCGAACTATCTACCCGATCGTTTGTTTTTGAATGGGTCCTGTTTATGTTTGATGTCTTTTCGTGCTACACTTTTGAAAAATACTTACGAAATGTAAGTCAATTTATTTATTCCAACACGTAACCAATTGCAGAGAACTGGAAAATGTGTCACAACATATGAACAAAAAGAAATCTGAATGTGCTTATAGGTTGTGTGGGCATCTTGTTTCACGGTTGCCCTGGCCGAGGAAGGGGGATAACCTAGGGGTCCCCACCCGAAGCCTTTAGCTAGCAAGCCAGACCTGCATGGCAACAGGACGGAGCTGAGAGTCCGCAGTTCAGTGGGGGCCGGTGTCCAATTCACTGGACCATACACCCTTTGAACGGGGTCAAACGTCCAATTGAGCCGGCGACNTGCAACCAAGGAGATGTGCGTGTGGTTCGTACGCCTCTTCTTGGCTGGTTTGGAATCAGGGTTTTTAGCCAACTCCCTTAGGTGAACTGCAAATAGTTCACCAACCTGGTTGTGGCCCCGGATGTCGGCTTTTCGTCCTCTCATATTGGTGGGAAATTACCTCCGCCACGGAGACGCAATAAGTAGGGCTTCCTCGGCAGAGGCTTTTTGAGATGCTTGGTCATATAGGAACATTTCGCGAGGTGTAAGGGAGTGAGGACCAGTCACAACCCCAGACACCCACCTCCGACCATACTGAGGCTTTTTGAGTACAAGGTTACCGAAGCCACGTAGTGCCGTATCCAGTTCTACATAAATCAAAGCAATGCCATTTGCCTGTTGAAAATCGGACAATATCTCCCCCGGTAGAAGCTCCACTCCTCAAATGCGGCCCCAGTTTGTAGGAAACCATGTGGAACTCAGCAGACGACGTGAGAACGAGGTATGGTG